GAAAGAGAGAGGGAAGGAAAGAAAGAAAGAGGAAGGAAGTGAGAGAGAGAGGAAGGAAGGAAGGAAGGAAGGAAGGGGGGTGATTATCCACAATTATGCAAATCCTGACTGGGATCCTGTGTCCACTATTATTCAAAACAGCATTCCAAATTCTACACCAAATCTGAGTCTGGCAGCCTAATAAAATTATACCAGAGAGGGACAATCACTTAACAACGTGAGCCAGCCATGTGCTGCTGGCTCACACACGGCCGGCTCTTGGATTTCCACACTCACCGAACTGACTTGGTTGGGCGAAGCCCCGTGCTTGAGCAAAAGGGTGACGATGTCGGTGTGGCCTTGTTGGGCTGCCTGGTGCAGAGGCGTGTAACCCAGCTGAAAGGGGGGGAAAAACTGTCAAGAGTATATCCATGAACTGGAACACAGCTTAGGAACAAGGTCAGCCAATGAGAGCTGAATTGGGGGCTGAAACTTAAAAGAGAGAATCTGGGCGTGGTTTGTCTCCGTTCTGTGCTCAGCTCTAAAGTGAAAGTGAAAGTGAAAGTGACTTGCTTGCTTGCTGAAACTAGAGTTCTGTTCTGAGCCCCCTGAGCCGCTGCTGCTTGTGTTTTTGCTTATGTTACGTTGAAAGAATCTACAAATGGTATTGTAAACTTTACTTCATATTATTATGTTTATAAAAAAGTTAACGATCCTGCTGAATCAGTCATCTATGTGTTTTCTGGACGTGAACTTCTGCTGCAAACTCTAACGAAAGAGAGAGAGAGAGACCAGAGCAATGAAAAAGACACAGTGGACCTCCAACAGCAGGGGTGTCGACACTTCTACAGGTGTTGGGACGTCCATAAGAGGGGTGGGGCTTCAACAGCCTGGTTGTTGCTTCCATCTTGTCTCTTTTGACCCTATCTGCCCATCTCTCTAGACCAAGGGTCTTCCAACTTGGCAAGTTTAAGACTTGTGGACTTCAATTCCGAGAATTCCCGAGCTAACATGACTGGAGGAGGAATTCTGGGAGTTGAAGTCCACAAGTCTTCAAGTTGTCAGGTTTGAAGAGCCCCTGCTCTGGGCAGCCCTGTCCCATACCTTGGTTTTGGCACTGACGTCAGCCTGATGCTGCAGCAGAAATTTCACCAGCTTGATGTTCCCGTAATGGCAAGCCACATGCAACGGGGTGTAGCCCATCTGGAAGGCAAAAATAAACAGGGATAGACCTCACAACAACCATTAGGCCTCACAGCCTCTCCAGGGAACTCAATAGCCCGCTCCAGAACCAGGAGACGGTGAATTCTAGTCCGGTCTTAAGCCTTCCGAAATCATGGGCGTTCCATCACTGGAGGTTTTTAAGAAGAGATTAGACAGTCACTTGTCTGAAATGGTTCTCCTGCTTGAGCAGGGGGCTGGACTAGAAGACCTCCAAGGTCCCTTCCAGCTCTCTTCTGTTCTCTACTCTACTCTACTCTACTCTACTCTACTCTATTCCTTTATTCCCTTTTCCTCTGTTCTGTTCTGTTCTCTTCTCTACTCTACTATATTCCTTTATTCCTTTTTCATCTATTCTCTTCTTTATTCCTTTATTCCTTTTTCCTCTATCCTATTCCTATTCTATTCTATTCTATTCTATTCTATTCTATTCTATTCTATTCTATTCTATTCTATTCTATTCTATTCTATTCTATTCTATTCTACTCTACTCTACTCTACTCTACTCTACTCTACTCTACTCTACTCTATTCTATTCTATTCTATTCTATTCTATTCTATCCTTCTATTTTCTATTCTATTCTATTCTATTCTATTCTATTCTATTCTATTCTATTCTATTCTATTCTGAAAGCCAGCTGGGTGACTTTGGGCCAGTTACTCTTTTTCAGCCCAACCCACCTCACAGGGTTGTTGCTGTAGAGAAAACAGGAGGAGGAAGGCGAGTTGCATTCTTTGAGGTATTTTTTAAAAAAACAGTAAATGCAAATAAACAAATCAATAAAATAAATACCATGGCCTCCCATCCTTGCAAGATTGGAAGAAAACCATCAGAACAAGCAACCTCAGCTCAGCTCCTGATCGTCCCTTTCTCTTGGTTCTTAACCCACACGATCTGTCCCGCTGCTAGCAATTCTGTGGCTCCTCCCACTGGGGGCTGGCTCCTCCCCCTGGTCCTATGGGACGATGGAAGGGGACTCACCCGAGTCGTTGCGTCCACTTGGACTCCATGCCTGAGGAGGTTGTCTGCCACGTTAAGGTGTCCTTCTTGGGCCACCAGGTGGAGAGGGGTGAGGCCACTCTGGAATGAAAAACAATCCAAGTTGCCCAAAGAGGAATCTGGAAACTGATCCTAGGAATCCTCCTATCAGAGCTGAAGAAGCTTCTTGGGTGAGAAGCGAAACGTCTTCGAAGAAAAACCAAGGAAGTCAAGTTGCCTTTTGAAAAAAAAACACCTTGGGACAATTATGACCTGGATGACGGAGAATCTCTACAGACTTTTAGCTATACGATTTGGGATGAAGACCCTTGGAATGGTGTTGGGAGTAGGAATGGATTTCTAGAGGAGAAACTGCAGACTACAGGAACCATTTGCACCACTCAGGTGACCCTGAGGACACAGATAAACTCCCAAGTGGCCTCAGCGGCCCTCTAAAAGGATGCAAATGACTAGCTCTGTCTGCAAGGAGTATAAACTGTCTATGTTTGTTGTCAAAATAAAAATTTCTTTTTTTAAAAAAAGAAAAGAAACTGTTCTTCCAGGAAAACCAGATCAAGGAACAGAGATTCCTCAAATGCTAGAACTCTATTGTTCTTGGTGTCAACTCATAAAATATTTCTACGGTCTTTTTTTTTAGATTTGCCATCAGAAAGGAAGGGGGGAGCAGTGCAGCAGCTTGGAAATCGAAAGTGCATTCCATAAATAGTTTTGCAAAGATAGTAACTAGGTGACTGAAGTTTCTGCCTTGCAAAATTCTAAATGGAGAGCCTGATTGATGACTCTGGGCTATGGATGTGTCCCATTGGAGAATATGAATTATGATATACCCAGGGGGTGGGAGGAAACCAGGGTCAAGGGTGACAATGAATGATGTGTCTCAGAGTCGGCTACACCCAGGCAGTGCTGGACATGATAACTTCCAATAAATCCTTTTGAAGTTCTGGAAGTTTGGCTGGAGGCTCAGGATTTAAATGGGGGTTAAGTGCTGGAATCCTGACGCTAGGTTATATTAAGCATTCTTGAATGCCTGTCCAAAAGTACCCCCTTTTCAATGGCAAAGCCTCGAAATTTCTCCGCTTTTTTCTCGTGCTTTTAACTTTTCTGGAGGCTGAGCACCCTGCTTCTACCTCTCTGGAGCAACTTCTCAAGGCCAGAGCTAAATTCGTCTGGGCTCGGTCTGGATTTGTAAGCAGCCGGCAAAGTGCTTCTACTTCCTATAGCTTGGGATCGAACCTGTAGCTATTTTCTTCCACTGCTTTCCAGATGGTGGGCTCTTCTTGTCCCTCTTCCTGCCCACAGCAGGTGGTTTGTGGGTCGCTGTTTGGGAAAAGCGCCAAGGGTAGTAGTGTTTTGAGGACAACCTACAACAGCTTTGGGGCTCTTCACCAGCTGAGTAAAACATCCAAAAAGGGGGTGGTGGTAGAAGAAGCAGACTCACACAGATGGTAGTTCCTCACTCTATCTCGTTTTATTGTTTTAATAAAAAGAGGGCCAAAAAGGTCCAGGGCCGTTCTTTATTTTCCATTTTAAAAAATTGGCAGTGTACGAACGAAAGAGGAACATGGCTGCCGAGGAGAACATTTGATCTTCTCCAACGGCAGCCAAAAAGATGGTGTTTATAGAAAACCTACAAAACAAGAGGATAAAGCAACAGATTCCATCCAGTTGCTATCCCCTAGCACAGGGGTCCCCAACCGCCGGTCCGCGGACCGGTACCGGGCCGCGGAACAAGCCTTACCGGGCCGCTGGTTGCTGGGCGCCGCCATCTTTTTTTGGTAAAAAAAGCAATTTTTTGTCAAAAAAGATGGCGGCGCCAGCGCTTCGGGTGAGCTTTTCCGGGTAGAAAGCCATTTCTACCCGAAAAAGCTCACCAGAAGCGCTGGCGCCGCCATTTTTTTTGACGAAAAATCACTTCCGGTGACGTCACCGGAAGTGATTTTTCGTCAAAAAAAGATGGCGGCGCCCAGCTGACGCCGGAACCGGGCCGCGGCGCCCAGCTGACGCCGGAACCGGGCCGCGGCGTCGAAAAGGTTGGGGATCCCTGCCCTAGCAGATGCCTTAAAGCATGGAAAGGCATTCACCAGTGCTACGCATAATTGGTGCAATGATTGTCTCGCTCGAGGGACATCTTTCATCCATGATCATTTTCACTCTCTTAAATACATGCTTTCATCCATGATCATTTTCACTCTCTTAAAAAAAAAGAGAGAGTGAAAGAGCCATCAGGTGGCATTATTGTGTCTTTTTATGTGTGTTGTCGTTTAATGAATCCATAATCCCTTATGAGGGATGAGGTCGGGGCAACTGAATGGAGCTGAGTGTTTATTGGCCGGATGCCCTTCCTGTTGCCAATGAGGAGTTTTGTCCGGCAAATATATTCTCATTGTGCCCAGAAAGAGAAATATCAGCCTCTAACCTCTACGAACTCACAGCCTCCCAACTGTAAGGCGAGAGCTCTGCCTCTAGGCCACCACACCAAAGTACTTTTACAAGAGGTGCTTTTGGGACAATTGCAGATGTGCAACGCAACTCGATGTGTTTCTGTTGTGTTGCGTATCAGCTGTACCCCCTGGGAATGCTGTTTAATAGAAGCATTTGCTCTTTGTAGAGGCAAGGAAAATCAAGTCGGCGTCCCTCGTCTGAGACTTCTGGAAGGATTACAAGATTAACTAAATGTCAACTCAAAAATATTTCTGTGGTTTTTTAGAGTTGTCAGCAGAAAGGGAGTGGTAGAAGTAGTACATTCCTTAAACATTTTCATCGATCATTTCTAGGCGACTGAGGCTACTGGCGTGCAAGATTACTGGAGAGCATGATTGATGACTCTTGGCTATGGATGTGTCCCATTGGAGAATATGAATTATGATACACCCAGGGGGTGGAGGGAAAACCAGGGTCAAGGGTGACAATGAATGATGTGTCTCAGAGTCGGCTACACCCAGGCAGTGCCGGCATGTTTACTCCTAATAAATCTTCTTTAAGTTTTGGAAGTTTGGCTCGAGACTCATGATTTAAATGGAGGTGACTACCGGAGCCCTGACACTAGATTTGGTTCTAGAACAGTGTTTCTTACCCTCAAGCAACTTTAAGATGGGTGGACATCTGCTTCCAGAATCCCCAGCCAGTCTGCTTTAAAATGCGTGGACTTCATCTCCCATAATTCTCCAGGAAGCGCTCTGTCTGGGGAATTCTGGGAGCAGGCACCTCTTAAGGTAGCTGAAGTTGAGAAACGCTGGACTAGGGAATGGAGAAGAACTCGTTTAAACGAGCAGAAACAACAGGACAATGCAAAGTGGGCCACTCTAGATTCCCATTTATTCAATTGAATTTGTCATGCCCCTGTTGGAGTCTGACTCCAAGGGAGAGATGGAACAGCTGACAGGGAGTGGGAGTGTGGCTCCGGTGGTTGTGGAGGAAACTGGGGGAGAGCACAGGCCGGGTGGGCATTCAGAGGAAGACCCAGGCCCATCCCCTCTTCATCCTAGGGCATCCTAGAGGAACGGATAAGAGAGAAACGTGAGTGGCGTGGTCTACGGGGGGGGGGGGAGGAAGGGGCCCTGATCCCCTTCATGAGCTGCAGCTGGGAGGACTGTTTAAAAAGACAAACTGCATGGCCAAGTTGCTGGAAGCAAAGTGTGCATTCTTGTCGGAGGTTATTTGTGTTTTGGCTTCCTCCCCACTGTGGTTGCTGCGTTATCTGGTAGAAATCTGCAATTAATCATCCTTGCCTTCCGTAGTAATTCCTTCAGTGTGGTGTGTTGGTTTTTTTTTATTTCGAATTAACTTTACTTTGGGTGCGGACTGCATTTGCTCCCTCCGTAAACTGTTTTCTTTAAGAGCTTGATATCCTGCCGAGGATAATTGGACACTGGGGCCAAGTTGGAGGCATTAAAGGAACTTTCTGCTATTTTTGTGACTTGGTTATTTTTGTGTCATGCCTTGGGTCATCACAGAACTATTTCTTGGAAATCTAGATGAAATTCTCCTAGACGCTCCCGCTCTAAACGTGACTGCTTCAAGAATATGACAGAACTGTTTTTCAGTGATCGCTCTTTCCATTAAGGGAAGTGTTGCCAAACACAATAAGGCCACCTGATGACCCTTTGCAGAAATAAATCCACCCGGAGGGAAAAATATTAATAGAATCATAGAACCATAAGGTTGGAAAGGGATCTTGGGAGGTCTTCTAGTCCAACCCCCTACTCAAGGCAGGAGATCTTAGTAGAACCTTGTGGGAACATGTCCTAGCCCAACTAAGCCAGAATGAATTTCATAATAAACAAATGAAGCCAGAATGAACCTCCAGCTGTGTCCACCTTCCGACTCTTCCAAGGACCATTTAGATGTTCATGAGATGAACACCACGATGGAGACTAGACTTTGAGTCTTCACATGCAGAAGGCTTTCCTGGACACCTTGGGGTATGCTTAAAATATTGGAAAGTCACAGAATAGATTGCAATGAACTCAGTTATTCCATACTGGGCAACCTTTTTCTTATTCCTCCGTCATTCCTTTCTAAAAAGATGTACTGTTCTTTAACTTGGAAGGTGCATGATAGTTTTCTTGGTTTGTTCCTGCCAAAAGGCAGGGATAAAACAGCTTCTCACCTTATCCAGGCCTCCACGGTTGCCTCAACCCTTCCCCAAGTCCCCACCATCTGTCAACTCGTAAATCATTCCTATGCCTGTTTCCGAGTTGCCATAAGAAGGGTGGGGGGAAGGCCTGAGGGATGAAGGCCAGAAGCACATTCCATGCTTATCTTGGGGAGATTGTAGCCTAGGCTACCGGATCTTCTGCCTGCAAAAATCCTTCATTGGAGAGTGTGACTTACGACACCCAGTCCGTGAATGTGTTTCGTTGGAGAATCTGATTTATGACACACCCAGGGAGAATAGGGGGAAACAGGGTCATAGGTGATTGTAAATTACGTGTCTCAGAGTTGGCTTCATACGGGTTAGTGCCGGACATGTTACTCCTAATAAATCTTTTGGATTCCTTTGAAGCTTGGCTCGAGGCTCACAATTTCATTAGGGCAATCGTCAGAACCCTGACACCATCCTTCCGAAGAGGTTAACGAAGAAAAAGACCTACTCACCTTGTTTCCAAGGTCGCCATTTGCCTGCTTGGAAAGGAGCAGCACCACCATGTTGGCGTGGCCCTCCTGGGCTGCCAGGTGTAGCGGCGTCATTCCCTGCGTGGATTCCGCGTTGGCAGAAGCACCGTATTGCAATAGGCTGCAAGCCACCTCCATTTGGTTCTGCCTGGCTGCGATGTGCAAAGGAGTGTATCCATTCTGTCGTGGAGAGAGCAGCAGGAAAGTTGCGGAAGGCCCCATGTCTCCAAGCCTTTGGTCCTTGAGGAGCTTGAACCAAGACCTTCTTGCATGGTTGAAGCTCCAAGGGACTGGAAGTGAAACTGTATGATGACCAGTTAAGGGAATTAGGTATGCCTACCTAACAAAGAGAAGACTTAGCAGTCTTCTAATATTTGAAAGGATGTCACAGAGAAGAGGGGGTTGGCTTATTCTCCAAAGCATCTTTCCTTCTTTCTTTCCTTCCTTCCTTCCTTCCTTCCTTCCTTCTTTCCTTCCTTCCTTCTTTCCTTCCTTCCTTTTCTTTTTTTCCTTCCAAAGCCCCTTTCCTTCCTTCCTTCTTTCCTTCCTTCCTTCTCTTCTTTTCCTTCCAAAGCCTCTTCCCTCCCTTCCTTCCTTCCTTCCTTTCCTTTCCTTTCCTTCCTTCCTTCCTTCCTTCCTTCCTTCCTTCCTTCCTTCCTTCCTTTCTTCCTTCCTTCCTTCCTTCCTTCCTCCCTCCCTCCTTCTTTCTCTCCTTCTCTCCTTCCTTCTTTTCTTCCCTTCCTTCCTTCCCTTCCCTCCTTCCCTTTCTTCTTTCTTTCCTTCTTGCCTTCCTTCCTTCCTTTTGTTTCTCCTTTCTTTCTTTCCTTCCTTCCTTCCCTCCCTCCCTCTTTCCCTTCCATCTTTCCTTCCTTTCTCTTTCCTTCCCTCCTTCTTTCCTTCCTTCCTTCCTTCCCTCTTTCTTTCTTTCTTTCTTTCTTTCTTTCTTTCTTTCTTTCTTTCTTTCTTTCTTTCTCTCTCTCTCTCTCTCTCTCTCCTTCCTTCCTTCCTTCCTTCCTTCCTTCCTTCCTTCCTTC